CGCTGACCTTTGGACTACTTTATAAGATTTGGTTTAGTACGTATTTGTTCGCCAAGTAGGCCCCTATTTTGGCATTCCATAAGTAACATGCTTGATTTTGGTTAAGCGAAACGCTTTGCTTCCTCATTACGGTGGATAAAGCGTTGTTGTTACCTTACGATTCTAGGATTTGGAGAGAGAGAGGGGGGCGAGTGATAAGCCTAATTTTGAAATTATCATTCGAAACGGTTCAGCAAAAGATCCTCCATTTACCGTGACTAAGTGTCGGCACACAAACCATATAACATTGGGAGATCACAAACAATGCGCCATGTTCGCAGACGACAGTTATCTACATTGTTTCGGAGACGCAACCGGCGATGCACTCACACCCTACGGCCAGAAACGCACATCAGTTGAGTCATGCCTGCAGGCCGGCCGCGCACGCCATCGCCTAGAGCACACGTGACGCTCGCGCACGCGTGCAGTAAAGATGTTCTAGAAACGTCTCCCAGGGTCGCAGCGTGGGAAATCACGATTCAGCGTGCAGGTCAGAACCCCTTCGCATGCTATAGGCCAGGTTTGTTCTAGAAGGACCAGAGACTTATAAATAGGTTGTAGCGAACAAACTAAAGGACCCGTTGTCTCCTTATTGTTCATTCTACTTACCCCTCGTGTCGTAACAGAAATCATGAATAATCGCCCTTGAATAAGCCGCAAAATGTAGGCCCAATTGAATTTCCTTCAAAACCATGCTAGCAATGTGTGCTAACGACCTCATTACTTTAGCTCGAAAAAAAAAAGTGGTAAAAATCGGTATGTAGTGGGCGAACTAGGCCAACCTATGTATATATGATAAATTTACATGTGAATAGAGAACAGAAAAAGATGGCGGCTCAAATCTAAAAGCCTTCGCGGACGTCATTCTGATTATTTTCTGTTCTCTGTCGCTTTAAACGGAAACTGTAATGTTTAAGTAGGCACCTAACTGAAGCAGTTTTTGCGGATTGTTTCTATTTCAGGAAAAGGCCAGGAGCACAGTTGCCTCTGCCTTCGCATCGGGATCTATAAGGAACAGTTTGCGTCCTCATCAGTCTGTGAGTCTGCGTATCAATCCACCTACAACCGGATTGGCGGGACCCGACCTTGACCATGTCCTATCAAAGTGCATTGAGGCGACAGCCGCTAAGGGTGGCGACCAATGGCTTGGACCAGACCTCATTACTCTACCGAAAACAGAATCCATCGATGAATTACTCTGGGTTAGTAAACAAAGGCAGACACGATACATGGATATGTTTGCCTTTTTAGTGACGTTATTGATGTCGTGCAATAGCTGTTTCTGGCTCTTTGTTCCGTTGATACTCTGTCCCCTTTTAGGTGGAAGCGCGAATCCTGAAGCTGTTCAAAGGGGCCTCGAAACCAGTGCCAAACATCTCCCTCATCGGCATGGTCGAATCTCCCAAGAGTCTAATAAATATGACTGATCTCTGCAAGGAGGCTAAAAAATTGAAACTTCCCCTAGTCGCTATGGTGTTTGGTTCCGATGATTACTGTGCTAGTTTAGGCAAGTTCTTGACTGAGTCTATCTCCTTCCTACATATATTGCCCTTGAGAGTGTTATATACGCCAACCTTTGGGCTATTTTTGCTCGCTTTTTGCGTTGAGACATTGTGATTGGATCGTTTGCTCATTTGTACCACATTTGCCTGTCGTTCGTTAACGTCAGCACTTTGGGTCCATATTATCGTACGTGGGGTCTGGTTCTGCAGAAGAGTTAGGCTGAAGTTACCTTTATCTTCGGCGGATGCCTACTCTTTCAAAATTCGTCGGAAAAATTGTCTGATTATATATCTTGAAAGCCGCTGGGCATCAGTACCTCAAATGTCTGCCTCCCATACCGGTCGCTGGATTTACTCATTCGATCAAATTAGCCTCTCTAGTGCAACAGCTTATAGACTACATCATGAAGTTCGCAACCATCGCACGAACCTTTGAACTCTTTTATGCTTAGGTTGAGCGTGGTTGACTTTACGTTAAGTTTGCGCGTCTCCGAATTCTACCCTTAAGCAGTTGGTGTTGTAACGGAAGCCCAGGCCGAGATATCACCGCTCAACAACGCCTTGTATGAGTCCCCAACGGAAGAACACGACAAGAAGTGTGCAACACCAGGAGTCTTTGAGTGTAAAAGGTACAACAAATTTAGGGCAACGAAAGCGTGTAAGATAGGTCCACGAACCACTCAGCTTCTCTTCTGGATTGGCCACGGGTGCGATTGGCTGGGACTCAGAGGCTGACATTCAGCTTGAATTTTAAAGTATCGATTAATTGACGGCCTGTGTACGTTCGCCCGTGTAGACCGATCGATAGCCTGCTTTGAGTGCGGCTATCGCTTGCAAGCTAACTGTTTGCTAAGGCTGTTCGTTAGATCGTCCTAACAGTTGGTAGACATGGGCCACCACATCGGCGTCCACAAACGCGACAGCGTGGAGGAACCCCTTTTAGGTCGCACAGGTCGCGGCGCGTTGATTGCACAATCACGTAATTTGTCACCTTACGGTTTCTTTGACCCCCCACCTCTTATATGCTCGACTGCCACACGTCATTGGCGTAAACTCTGCCACACGGCAGTTCTTCAGTCCAAGGTTTTGCGTTCGTTTACTCTGTATTGGGCTTTACCCACTTAGTTTAAATCACCCCCTAGAAGACCATGCAAATCACAATGGTCCGATGACAGGGCTCAGTAAGCAGTTGGCATAGCAGTCCGAACGGCCCGAGGGGTTAAGCAGTGCCTCTCTTACAACGACAACTACGTAGGGCGTAGCCATTTGCATTTGCCTTATCTTTCTGGGTGATACTTCTCAATGCTGCCTCTCAAAATACTTCAACCAGCTTGCAAACACACACAAGCCTACGCAGACTGTACCCGGACTTCCGCCGGCATACAGTACGCGCCAGAATTCGTGGAACATGCCGACATATGCGGAAGATTAATACTCTTTCGCTAATCGGCATTGACTCAGTTTGTGATACTGATTATCGTGT